TGACTGATATAGCAAGACGGACATACAACTGATATAGCAATGACAGACATACAAATGATATATCAATGACAGAAATATGACTGATATAGCAATGACAGAAATATGACTGATATATCAATGAAAGAAATATGACTGATATAGCAATGACAGAAATTTGACTGATATAGCAATGACATAAATATGTCTCATATAGCAATGACAGAAATATGACTGATATAGCAATGACAGAAATATGACTGATACAGCAATGGCAGACACACGATTGATATACCAATGACAGAAATAAGACTGATATAACGACAACAGTAGTACATGACATTAGTAGCAAGATGCTGTATACTGTGCACACCGACAAACAAACACCCCCCCCCCCCCCCATGCTCACACTCAATAAAACATGTTTAATTGAAGTTGATGAGTATGCACCTGCAACCAGTAACAAGTTAACAAGATGCAATCAGAAATGCTTGCTACACATCACACTACAATGGCTTCCAATTAGCTAAACAGCTGCAGTAATGACTTCTTTCTGAAAGTCTGCCACAGATCTCACAATTTTTAATGGTCAAACTGAAGAACTTATTATTTTAAAATTACAAATTAATGCATTTGAAAGTAGAGTTTTTTTTTTTTTGTAACCAAAGAACAACAAAACTGATTTTTTTTTTTTTTTGGGGGGGGGGGAGGGGGCCCTCTGTGTGTGTGTGTGTGTGTGTGTGTGTGTGTGTGTGTGTGCGTGCGTGCGTGCGTGTGTGTGTGTGTGTGTGTGTGTGTAAAAACTGATATTGTGAACCCCTTAAATTTGTTTCCAAGTGGAAAACAGTAACATGACAAGGCATTTCAGAGGGTCAAACACTGCTGCAAAGACAGTTGCATCAATAAATACCTACTATCAGACCCCCCCCCCCCCCCCCCCCCCCCCCCCCCCCCCCCCATTTTGTGAATAATGTGTCTGATATCCATCCCCATCTGTCTGACTTTCTGTTGCTTGTGAGTTCCTTGTTTGCTATCAGTCCCCAACTGTCTGACTTTCTGTTGCTTGTGAGTACCTTGTTTGCTATCAATACCTGTCTGAGTTTATGTTGCTTGTGAGTACCTTGTTTGCTATCAGTCCCTGACTGTCTGACTTTCTGTTGCTTGTGAGTTCCTTGTTTGCTATCAGTCCCCAACTGTCTGACTTTCTGTTGCTTGTGAGTACCTTGTTTGCTATCCATCCCCATCTGTCTGACTTTCTGTTGCTTGTGAGTACCTTGTTTGCTATCAGTCCCTGACTGTCTGACTTTCTGTTGCTTGTGAGTACCTTGTTTGCTATCAGTCCCTAACTGTCTGACTTTCTGTTGCTTGTGAGTACCTTGTTTGCTATCAATACCTAACTGTCTGAATTTCTGTTGCTTGTGAGTACCTTGTTTGCTATTAATCCCCAACTGTATGACTTTCTGTCGCTTGTGAGTACCTTGTTTGCTATCAATCCCCAACTGTCCAACTTTCTGTTGCTTGTGAGTACCTTGTTTGCTATCAATCCCTAACTGTCTGACTTTTTCTTGCTTGTGAGTAGAATTGTTACTTAACAAGTCAGCTATAAGGGTTCAATGCCAAACTGTGGTAAAACTGTTCTGTCACATCAGTATGACTCTAAGATACACACAGGCTCACAGAATGTTTTAACACCAAAAGGCAGCAGTGAAGAAGAGAAAGTGACGCACCGACTCATTCATTAACATAGAGGCCTAAACATTAACAACCCCCACCCCTACCCCCTTTTATCCCTAAACTATGACAGTATATTTTACTTAGAATTACTGTATATTTTATCAGTTCAAGGATACTACTACTTCTGCTTATTTATAGACAACTGTGATATACCGTGGGCAATATGACCCTGAGTGGGTTACTTTATTTGCATGACATGATCCCTGAGTGGGTTACTTTATTTGCATGACATGATCCCTGAGTGGGTTACTTTATTGCACTTGCTTGACATGATCCCTGAGTGGGTTACTTTATTTGCATGACATGATCCCTGAGTGGGTTACTGTATTTGCATGACATGACTTATTTGCTTGACATGATCCCTGAGTGGGTTACTTTATCCCTGAGTGGGTTACTTTATTTGCTTGACATGATCCATGATCCCTGAGTGGGTTACTGTATTTGAGTGGTTTATTTTGCATGACATGTTACTTTTTGGGTTAGTTATTTGATGACATGATCCCTGAGTGGGTTACTTTATTTGCTTGACATGATCCCTGTGTGGGTTACTGTATTTGCTTGACATGATCCCTGAGTGGGTTACTGTATTTACTTGACATGATCCCTGAGTGGGTTACTTTATTTGCTTGACATGATCCCTGAGTGGGTTACTTTATTTGCATGACATGATCCCTGAGTGGGTTACTTTATTTGCTTGACATGATCCCTGAGTGGGTTACTTTATTTGCTTGACATGATCCCTGAGTGGGTTACTTTATTTGCATGACATGATCCCTGTGTGGGTTACTTTATTTCCTTGACATGATCCCTGTGTGGGTTACTTTATTTGCTTGACATGATCCCTGTGTGGGTTACTGTATTTACTTGACATGATCCCTGTGTGGGTTACTGTATTTGCTTGACATGATCCCTGTGTGGGTTACTGTATTTACTTGACATGATCCCTGTGTGGGTTACTGTATTTACTTGACATGATCCCTGTGTGGGTTACTTTATTTGCTTGGCATGATCCCTGTGTGGGTTATTTTATTTGCATGACATGATCCCTGTGTGGGTTACTGTATTTACTTGACATGATCCCTGAGTGGGTTACTGTATTTGCTTGACATGATCCCTGTGTGGGTTACTTTATTTCCTTGACATGATCCCTGTGTGGGTTACTTTATTTCCTTGACATGATCCCTGAGTGGGTTACTGTATTTGCTTGACATGATCCCTGTGTGGGTTACTTTATTTGCTTGACATGATCCCTGTGTGGGTTACTGTATTTACTTGACATGATCCCTGAGTGGGTTACTTTATTTGCTTGACATGATCCCTGAGTGGGTTACTGTATTTGCTTGACATGATCCCTGTGTGGGTTACTGTATTTACTTGACATGATCCCTGAGTTGCTTACCATGATCCCTGTGTGGGTTACTGTATTTACTTGACATGATCCCTGAGTGGGTTACTTTATTTCCATGACATGATCCCTGTGTGGGTTACTTTATTTCCTTGACATGATCCCTGAGTGGGTTACTTTTTTAAAATTTGGATTGTGCTACATCTGTGTATGCAGCTCCAACGCAGCTGTCAGTGCTTCACATTCTTGCACACAGTTCAGTCATGCTTATTTTCTCTGGGAGACGTGCTTGTGCAGTGGCTATTAAATCTGCCTGTTTACCCAGTGGTCAAGTATTCAATTCCCACTGAGAAGGGGATGAGTTTTATCATGCAAGTTGCCAGGTTAACACAGCCTAAAATGGGTAGCAGGAAGTTTTCCTGGAAGTACAGGCGGCTGGTGAGATATTGACATAACCCAGTGGGTGTCTGGATTATGAAATATGGCACTTACACCATGTACCCAATATGCATAATGGCGTGGGGCAGGGTTATAATGGCATGGGACAGGGTTATAATAGCGTGGGACAGGGTTATAATGGCGTGGGACAGGGTTATAATGGTATGGGACAGGGTTATAATGGCGTGGGACAGGGTTATAATGGCGTGGGACAGGGTTATAATGGCGTGGGACAGGGTTATAATGGCATGGGACAGGATTATAATGGCGTGGGACAGGGTTATAATGGCGTGGGACAGGGTTATAATGGCGTGGGACAGGGTTATAATGGTATGGGACAGGGTTATAATGGTGTGGGGCAGGGTTATTTGCTTTTAATTTCACAAGACATACTCCTAAGAATTCTGCCAGGGCATTGTCTCATGCCATAACTTGCACATGAGACATCCATTTTGTCACGCTTTCACTTTTCCAAGAACACTAATATTCCTTTCCTTAGTTAAACACACTCATCGGAATAACTAGGTACCCCACATCACCACACAAGAGATTACATTATGCAGTAACAGTAAGTATCATCATCAAGTGTCTTGCAAACTGGCATAGGTCATCATGCATTTCTGTAACCCTGTTCTCTAGCACTACTTATAAATTATTATGAAAGCTATGTTTCCCGGTTGTAAATTGAGAATGCTTCTAGAATTTTATTTTGCTACATTATCTTCACCTTTTTTTTCCACACAAAAAAAGCTACACATCTTACCAAGCTACACCACTATGTACATTACTCATCTATATTCCTGTCTGGGTTCCAGGACCCTAACTTGGATGAGAAAAATAACAGACACCCCCATAAGGATGTCATAAAAGACATTAAATTAGAAGTCAGCTGAAAATGGCTGTTTTGAGAAGGTACAGATATCCCTTCTACACAGCATGCTAACCAGCTTTTAAGGGTGAGAGCAGCAGCAGCAGCAGCAGAAGAAGAAGAAAAATTTTTACATTATAAATCGTACTTAATTCTCAAGCTTAATGAATATAACAACAGTTAATACTTAACCACACTGAATAAAGACAATATTTAATAATGTTCTGTATATATATGACAGAATATTTATACACCAGGTATACTCTATGCTTGGGAGAAAAATACACTGTCAATAATAGAACAAAAATATATACACAGTGAGGGGGGAAATATACAGTCAAAAATGGTTTCACAAATATACACAGTAAATTGTGGTGTATAAGTCTAATGTTTCCAAAACTAACAGTAAACTTATATGGTATCTAAAAATTGCATTAGGTAGGTGCAGGCCTAATTCAGAATTCTAAGTTTAAAATTTTGACCCCATCAGGTCGACTTGTTCACCGCAATTTGCAGTATTTCATATTCATAGAAAATATACATTGTCAAAAATGACTCCAAAAATACTGACTCCAAAAATACACACTTCCTACTTAGGAGAATATAAACAGTCAGAAATGATTTCAATAATATACTTACTCTTTCAAACTGCAAGGCAGCAGGCGACTGTGAAATGCTTGCATAATTGGGGTGATCTTGATGAGCCGATGGGATGCTTTGATGTCGAGGCGGTCCTGGCTGAGGAACACCATTGGGCACTTGACGGTATCGATCGTTGTTCTGATGAGGCAATGAGCGGTCATCGTAGTGACTGTGTCGCAGAGGCTGGCCTGGTGGGGTGTATTCAAATGACCTGTCTACAGTGTGAGCATCATACGAGCTGTTTACTCTTGGGTCATGGTGTACCGGCCGCCGTTCTAAAGTTCCGTGCAAATAGTCCCCTTGATTACGATCTACAAAATCATCATACTGTTTTGGCATTCTAGTTCGTGGGTCCATCTGCTCCTGCTGTGGTTGGCGATGCAGCTGGTTGGACCTAACGGAGTCTCTAGAGTCGAATGTCTGTCGTGGCTGAGGATACTCCCCTGGGTAATCTCTGCGCTCTCTATATCCCTGAGGCACCTGCTGCTGATGCTGCTGGTACTGCTCCTTGTGCAGGGGATTTGGGAGGTTCGTTTGATGGAGATGTGGATCATAATCCCGCCGTGATGTCTGATGCATGATTTCTTCTTCGGGGACAGTAGGGTACTCACTTCCTGGAGCCCGGCGTCTGTAAGGAGGTGGACTTTCACGACGCAGTGAATTTGATCTGGCCACACTAACATCCTGCAGATGTCCATTTTGATGCCCTCTAATGATTGTCTGTAAGGGGGAGATAAGGAATACATGAGCTCAAGAGCATAATTCTATATCTAGCAATCGTTTTTTACCACACACACAAAACCTCCCACCCCCTAGGGGCAACAGGTTACAGTCTGTTGGCATATATTCAACATCCCCTCCCCTTTGCAATCAGTTACCGTAAGCTGACAACTAAATACAAAAAATCTGTGCAGAAAACATCTCATGATATTGTCGACCCATATGAAACAGTGTCTTTCTTTTAGGGTGTATATGTGGCAACTAGCCAAGCCATTTGCTTCTTGTTCTGAAGGCTGTGAGTTCACTTTCAGACCCTCTCAATCAGTTCAAGGTGCAATTTTAACCACAGATCCCTGGGACTGAGCTAGAGCTAAGAAGCCTGTGCTCTATGTGATGTTCCAGACAGTTGACCAGCTGCCCTGCACAGAGACTGAGCCCCGCTGGATAAGTTTTGGTTCAATGAGCTCAATCTTCCACCAGTAAACCTTGTATTTTTGTTTAAATCTTCTTCCATCTGCATAATTCACTTCCATTTTTCTGTCCAGAACATTGTTTAACAAGTTCTGCCTCTTAATGTGGCAGAAGTTGAATGAAAAGGGAAAGAGGAACAACATATACAGAGACACAAGAAAAATAAGATACCTTAGCCTTTCTCGACACAAATCACAACAAGGTGCTCTGGCAGAAATGTTGATTTTTTCCTTTTGTGTGTGTATGCATGTATGTGTGTGTGTTGTTCCCCTTTCCCTCTTCCTTTAACTTCTTGATCGCAGTTGAGTGGATACATTTCTTTGTTTTTAGCATAACTGCAGTTTTAACACTTCTACACAACTACATCTCTGCAGTTTTAACACTTCTACACAACCACATCTCTGCAGTTTTAACACTTCTACACAACCACATCTCTGCAGTTTTAACACTTTCACACAACCACATCTTTGCAGTTTTAACAATTCTACACAACCACATCTCTGCAGTTTTAACACTTCTACACAACCACATCTCTGCAGTTTCAACACTTCTACACAACCACATCTCTGCAGTTTCAACACTTCTACACAACCACATCTCTGCAGTTTTAACACTTCTACACAACCACATCTCTGCAGTTTCAACACTTCTACACAACCACATCTCTGCAGTTTTAACACTTCTACACAACCACATCTCTGCAGTTTTAACACTTCTACACAACCACATCTCTGCAGTTTTAACACTTCTACACAACCACATCTCTGCAGTTTCAACACTTCTACACAACCACATCTCTGCAGTTTTAACACTTCTACACAACCACATCTCTGCAGTTTTAACACTTCTACACAACCACATCTCTGCAGTTTCAACACTTCCACACAACCACATCTCTGCAGTTTCAACACTTCTACACAACCACATCTCTGCAGTTTTCAAGTAATGTATAAACAATCCCATCATCATCCTGTGCCCATAGAGAAGCATAAGCATGGTTCCCCATCCCACACAATCACCAGAATTATTGATCAGGTCAGTGTTCCTGTCCTGTCCCATCCTGGAGGCTAAACCAGCCAGATATTTTATCTCCATCTTCCCTTTGCTCCTTCTCCATCACAAAATCACCAGAATAGTAGCTCTCCTTCTCCATCAGTCATCTGCTTTCCTGCCCTGTCCCATCAGTCACAAATCTGCTTACCCTCCATAAGAGTATTTTATCTCCAATCTGCTTACCCTCCATAATAGTAGCTCTCCTTCTCCATCAATCACAAATCTGCTTACCCTCCATAATAGTAGCTCTCCTTCTCCATCAGTCACAAATCTGCTTACCCTCCATAATAGTAGCTCTCCTTCTCCATCAGTCACAAATCTGCTTACCCTCCATAATAGTAGCTCTCCTTCTCCATCAATCACAAATCTGCTTACCCTCCATAATAGTAGCTCTCCTTCTCCATCAGTCACAAATCTGCTTACCCTCCATAATAGTAGCTCTCCTTCTCCATCAATCACAAATCTGCTTACCCTCCATAATAGTAGCTCTCCTTCTCCATCAGTCACAAATCTGCTTACCCTCCATAATAGTAGCTCTCCATCAGATTATGATCCAGAAACCCCTTTTATTTTCAAAGGCAGAAATGAAAGAAGTATTCAACAAGGAAGAACAAAACAGTGTGCAATGTAAAACAGCCACCCTTGGTCTACTTAATAATGAATACCCACATAATCTTTGAGTTTGTGTCTAAACGGATGGGTCAGCATCAAATGCAAACAGAAATGGAGTAGCAGGAGTGTACACTGAGCATCCAAAGAACACCAGAGATACAGCCAAAATACCCACAGGAAAGCACAGTCACAACTATGATGCAGAAGTTCAAGCCATCAAGATAGCAGCAGAGAAACTGCTAAATAAATCAAAATATATAAGATTTCTTGAAACTTCCGCAATACGTTACCTGCGCCCGGAACTCTGTATATAGAAAGATATGGTTCTGACTTTACGGTTGCCCTGGTAAAACAGGCAGTCATGTTTGATCGTTGTTGAATTTGTTCTTCAGTTATAAAGATTCACTTATCTGCTTCACTGATGTAATTATCACTGTAGTATGCACTTGACAAGATACAACGAAATATGCCAGGCAATCAATCGTGCAATCTATTGCTTAAGTCTTCTTTGCTAAATATATATAATATTTCACAACCAAGGGTTTTTCAGACAGAAGCAAGAGCGGTACTTCAGGCACTCCAATCTGGAAAATTACCAGGTATGGTATACAGACTCTACAAAGCAGGCAACCAATATAAGGTAAATACAGTGGATACCATTCCACTGTGAAGTTCCTGATATGAGAAAGCTGATAAACTAGACAAGGAAGGTGCAAATAAAGAATAACTTGACGTACCAGTTTCTTATCAACAGAAGAAGAGAATAATGAAATTAATCAGATGGCCACTAAAACTGGCACAAGATGATTACCATATTTTAGAACAAGTCATTATTCAGCTATCCAAAAAACGGTCCTAAATAATCGAGGCTAAGAAAAATACCTTAACAGGGCCTCAATCATGTGTAAATTGCGCACTTCTTTCTGGCAAATATACCACATACCGCAGAAAACACTCTGAATAACAGTCCCAAATCATCGAGGGTGTCAACAGCTCCGACACTAAGTGCTAGGTTCAACTTCTCCTCTGGGTCCTAGCTTTAACTGTTCCTCTGCGTCCTAGGTTTAGGGTTAGGGCCAGGAGTATTGCAATTACAACACCGCCACCAGAATCTGTCAGAACAGTGGAAGGGCGATACACAAATTACGGGTTATGGATAGAACTTACGTGGACACAACGTTACCAAAGCGGCACTAGTTGCGCGTTGTTTACAGAATATTCAGCGCAGTTTCCTGGCGGCACAGTCACAGGCATTGAGGCCCTGTTAGGGTATTTTCTTAGCCGCGATAATTTGGGACCGTTATTCGGAGGATAGCCCATTATTCTACGCCTCAGAACAGGGCACACAATCGAATTTGAAGCTACATGTACATAACTTTAGATTTGGTAAATCATCCATGTGTAAACGTGGATTAACGTCGGAGACAACAGGTTATGTCCTCCAAGACTGTCCCAAATACAATACATCAAAGCAAAACTTCTGGCCAAGAGAAACAACAGTTGAAGCCAAACCTTTTGGGTCGGTGAGTGAATTACAAAAGACGATGAAGTTCATACTAGAGGCAACACTGCAGATACAGATAATCTATTTCAGGCAAATGAAAGAAGAAGAAGAAATGCCTTACTCTTCAATTCAAGCAGAATCTAAAATCTGTGAATTAATATATTTAGAAAAGACAGGGTTAAATTAAATTTACTTTTCAAATTCCAGCAAAAGTGATCTAAAAAAAAATGCAACAAATAAACCAAATACCTTAAGAGGCTCTACATCAGTCTGGGTGATCCTAGATGGATCAACAATGGGTCTACGTCTGTCTTTGCTGCCTTCAATAATACCTGCCCACTGAGCCGGGAGGCCGACAAAAACCCCATTCTCCCAGTCAAATCCAGTGTGCACCCGGTGCTGGAAGTTTGATGGAGATGAGATCTCTATCTGTGGCTTTTTCTTCTTCTTGAACATGATGGCGATACTACTGACCAACCTGTGAATAAGATAACACAATTTTGTTGGAGACTGTAAAATGTGGAGAGACATGAGCATCCAGGGCAGTACATGATGATGATGTAGTTATATGATGGGTAATCTCGTAGTGTATGCTGAAGAAAATAGAATGGTGTCGTGAGCTTAGTGTGGCTTACGCTGCTTGATAAAAGATGAGAAACATATTGTGGGTTTTCTGTTCAGGACACTTGAGTGTACATGGTAATGAGCAGGCTGAGAGATCAGCTGCTGCCACCCCTCTGGGCAGTGAGCTATTTTACAATACAGAGGCACATGGTGAAGGCTCTCCAGGATCAAGTCAACAGTGAAGCAGAACAAAGCATCCATTTCTAGAGAGAATGATCAGCTGGGAGTGAGCAGAGGGTGAGGATGATTTTTCTACCCGCAAGGGGAAAACGGGCAAACTTTTAATCAGGTTACAACTGCACCATCAGTATGGGGACTCTTTGTTGGCGTCTGCGAGTGGGGACAGAGCAGGTGTGTGAATGACCAGTGTGCAGTGATGTCAGTTCTTGACTAATTTACTCAGGAGAGTATTACTAGATCCTCATATTCTAACTGACGACTGTGTTTGTACGTCAGACTCAGAAAACAGCTACTAGAGTCAGGAAGTTAAGTATCCCAGATAAATTTATGATACAAGATTCATGATCTTCCTCTGCCATCCATGTCTGTGTATTGTTGCTTAGTATTCATATTGTGCATACAAAGAGGAGTTTTTGGAAGGGCTGAATGTAAGACAGGCCTACATACCCAATTTATGACTGGAAAAAACAAAACTCTCTGGACATTAGGTAAGAAACTGCAAATATAGCCCTGCACACCTCATTGGTTTCTGAGCTTGGAGAAGGCATGGAGAGCTCTTCATTATTATTCCAACAGATATGCTACTCTGGTGAAATTATGTGCAACATCTCTTCCCAAATTTAATTTCTTCTTGTTCCGTGGGTTCACTGGTTTAAACTCCTGCAGAAAGTTATGGTTTTTCGTGAACATCTGGATTCTGAACTTGTTCAAGAACTCAAGTTTTGTTCAGATATCCATGTTACATATCTGATTTATTTATTTAAAACCAAAAAAGTTGACCTTTTTGATACCTCTGATGTATGTCATACAGTGCGATACATAAAATTTCACAAAACAATGGGTACTCAGTGGCTGATGTATGTCATACAGTGCGATACATAAAATTTCACAAAACAATGGGTACTCAGTGGCTGATGTATGTCATACAGTGCGATACATAAAATTTCACAAAACAATGGGTACTCAGTGGCTGATGTATGTCATACAGTGCGATACATAAAATTTCACAAAACAATGGGTACTCAGTGACTGTTGTGGTCAATATGAAACTGGCTGCCTTTACATTCCAGAATATTACTAGTTATCCATTTTAGACTGGGTCGACCTGACAGTCCAGGTCAATTTTAAAAATTAATCTATGGATTGAACCCTAGACCTCTGAACCAGCATTCAGTTATTAACTGGGGCTCCCTGTCATTTGATCTAATAAACTTAAAACCTGGCATCTGTAAAGGCATCTCAGTCTCACACCCTAGAGCAACATACTTTAAAAATTCCTTGACTTTTGTGTTTAATTTAAAATGCCAAACAAATAAACGAAGAAAGGCTAGCTACTGGGCAGTATGGTATGTATCCAGTCAGCTATCTCACAAAAACCAGGAAAAGATGATTCACAGTTTGAATTAGGATAGATATGATTCAACTTTAAGGCATTTGTTGACCCTTCCCAGTTTTGTTTACATCATTCTTCTCTAATGTGGTCAACATATGCAGGCGCGTGAGATCTCATATTAATTCTTACATACATACCTACATGTCTACAACTACATACAACAACTAACTTCAGATTTGAATATGTGACAGAGTGAAACACACAGACGGACAGCCCACAGCAAGTTATCTTGATAATGTTTACTTTACTGATTTGCATGCATCAGGGAAAAATGTTAGATATAACTGACACAAAGCATACCAAATCAAGATAGGCATGCTTCCAACAACAGGGAAACAAACGACTCACTTTCAACAATACTACACTATAACTTTGGAGTAAGCAGAAGGGGAAAAAAAAAAACCAACAGTCAGTCAACAGGACAGGGCACTTCCGTCTTGTAAGTTCTCAAGTTCTGAGCAGAGATTTAACTTCACAAACTGCCTTGCACCATTCTGTTATTTTTTTCTGACAATTATATAATTTGTGAAAAAAAAATGAATAGACCTGAAGCAAGTAATAACTGGTGCAAATAAAAATGTTCTCACCTTATAAAGCCGACAGAGGTTCACTAACAATCCCTATGCAACAGGCTGGACGCCATTATTGGTTGCTTGTAGCAGACGACATCCGGGCAGTTGAGGGGTAGGGGCGACGAGGGCGCTGTAGGCCCACCTGTGGCCGGGCGTTGTGCCCTTGTACCTGGCTGTGTGTGGGGAACACGTTACAGGTGGATGGACAACATCCAGAGACAAGTCGCCGGGCGTTGTGCCCTTGTACCTGGCTGTGTGGGGGAACACGTTACAGGTGGATGGACAGCATCCAGAGACAGTCGCCGGGAGTAAACGTATTGTAAAAGGCAACTAATCAGGGCGTCTTTGGGAACTTGCCCAGAGGCCACACGAGCATAGGCCCCTAAGCTAATCACTAATCTGTGTATGTTAAGTGACTTACCATTAATAACAATGTTTGTTATAACAATATAATGAAGGTGATGTGCTGAACAGCAAATAGATATAATATTTTTTGAAACAATAGGCTATTTAGACAAACGATTAAAGAAAAGAGAGAACTTCCATAGATGGTTAAACAAGGCGTAGAGCTTAGTTTGCGTGCACATTTAGCGATGCCTAAGCTCCCACGTTTCCACTCCTTTGGTCGAGCACATAATAAAGAAATGAAATTTGAAGCACGCTTTCTTTATTTCTCTCACAGTGAAGTGCGTCACAAGTTTTTGCATACCAGAGACTAGTGTGTGTGGGATAACAGCACCCACAAGTGTTGGGGATTATATATATGTTAATTATATATTTACTTCCTGTAAATATATTCCCGTCACGGTAATGGACCCATGATTGTGTGTTTCCAGCCATCGTTGAATCTTTAAATTGCACAAGTGGCCCTATATTATTGGTGTTAAGAGGACTAATTATGCGATCTCAGTACCCAGGAAATCACGCGATCTTGTGATGTTATTTGACACCGTTAAGGCATTCGACACATCACAGACACCCGATATGTTATCACAATCGACGTCTTTGCGTTATTTGACATTCCCATGCCTGCTCATTCCCCAGATGCAGCAGCCACTCCAAGGTACCTCTACAGAGTTGAGTCTAGAATTGATATCGCAGCACTCGGGGCATTCTCATGCACGCTCCGTCCCCATCTTCAGCAGCCAGCGCAGAGTTCGAATAATGATGGCACTGGTCACAATCTGGTTATATGTCCGTCTTGCCTGTCCTCTAAGTGTAGTGAGCCGGCAAGACCCTCTGGTTACACACAGATTGTTCCCATAAAAAGCTGGTCTAAATATCTCCTGTCTTCACCTCGAAGTCGATATAGACGGGCTTCACTAAGTTTAATTCACAGGTCATGCAACCATGTTAGCGTCAGAGATTCAACAGTATTTCCCAACTTGGTCCTCAGAGCGTTGATATCAGTTCTTCTATGCTTCTTCTTGTCTTCACTGGTGCATTGCTTGTCAGCGGGTCAGCTCTGCAATACCGTTTACTTCTTTATACCCAGGTGTGTAGATCCAGATGATGGAGGTTAACTGCAACTTCCGAATGCTTTCTACCCATTTAGAGCTATAAACAACCTGTTGCGATTTTCTGAAACATGTTCACTGAGTCTGAAAGGATACCGCATTTGTGGTCGTCGGTTCTGCTCCCCATTCGAGTGCTCTGGGGGCAGCAGTTATCTCCTTAGCCAGGCTTGACGTAGTTGTTTGGTAAGTGGGCTATCCTCTTTTGTTGTTTTCCCCATCCTTTGTGTTGGGCTTGCCCATGCTGATCTCGATCAGTGCTTTACGGACCCATTTGTGTAAATGACGGTGTCTACTGAGTGTAAATGCTGATCAATAAAGTCCCTTATCTCGGCGGCGTCCTGTCCGGCTCGCTAGCGTAGTTGGTTAAACCTGACTTCGCGGCGACCAGGAGACGAACTCCTTATGGTCCCAGTTCACGCCTGGGGATAGGCAGAAAAGCCACCTTTCTCCCACATTTACGGTACCTATCATGGAATCAAGGCCAAAGGTTTGCGACATCCATAGTACCGAGCCAAAGGGTTAACAACTCATGGTTAACGGATATTTAAGAAAATATCTCGGCGTCGACGGTGCCAGGTATCTGATCCCTACAGTACCTTCCAATTGTTACGACCTCAGACAAGCCATGCATGTCTACTGGTGTATCCACCCATTGTTTTCCGTGACTGATCTCGTCTAGGTCACATACTTGCTGGATTCGATTTCCTGCCTCAGCCATCCACGGAGAACCTCTTTTGAGACACATCCCTTTTATATAACTGACAGCGTTGTGTAGTGGGTGGTTGATGCATATGCGTGTTAATAATCATGTTTGTTTTTTAAGGATTGTTTTTCTTCTGTTATGTAAACAAACACGTAGTTTTTATGTTGCCTTATTTTCGTTTGAAAGAACGAACAGACGCCGATTGAAAGCAAACAGTTCATTGAGTAACAAGAACATTTCACAATATCATTTTGCACGCATGTCATTGGCGTGTGACTCTGAGGTGGTCATCTCCACCATTAATCTCCTGTGAGCTGCAGGTCTTTCATTGTATGCGGAATAAGCTATCAAAACAATCATCACGCATCGCTGCACATATTAACTGATTTCCAGACAAATTTCACGTGTGCATCAATTACTGTATAATCTGTTTTAGGGGTACACAAAATATTAGTCCAACAAAGATC